AGGCCACAGGGTTGGAACCATCTATATGAGAGAAAACGAGAAAACAAATTTCAAACCGCCTTTCACTAACCCTATCAATCCCTTCTCTTTCCTGGTCCCAGATCACACACCTAGGCAACGAAAGAAAAAAGAAAGAAAAAAACTTAGTCCCCTGCATCTCAGATATCTGTAATCAATGATATCATATTGTCAACATATTTTCCATCCGGGTGAAGGTTAGGGTTAGGGTTAGCACTAGGGTTAGGGTAGGGTTAGGTTAAGGCTAGTTTTAAGAGTTACTATTAAGTCCTACCAGCTGGTGGCTCTGTATCCTCTGTCCCTGGTTCCTCCTGTGACTGCTGTGGGAGGGAAAGAGTCGGTGCCACCTCGCTGATGTCCAGGTTAGGGTTAGGCTTAGGCTTAGGATTAGGGCTAGGGCTAGGGCTAGGGTCAGGGCTAGGGCTAGGGCTAGGGCTAGGGCTAGGGCTAGGGCTAGGGCTAGGGCTAGGGCTAGGGCTAGGGCTAGGGCTAGGGCTAGGGCTAGGGTAGGGGTAGGGGTAGGGTTAAGGTAAGGGTTAGGATTAGGGTTAGGGTCAGGGTTAGGGTCAGGGCTAGGGCTAGGGCTAGGGCTAGGGCTAGGGCTAGGGCTAGGGCTAGGGCTAGGGCTAGGGCTAGGGCTAGGGCTAGGGCTAGGGCTAGGGCTAGGGCTAGGGCTAGGGCTAGAGCTAGGGCTAGGGCTAGGGCTAGGGCTAGGGCTAGGGCTAAGACTTAGGTCCTACCTGGTTCCTCCTGTGGCTGTTGTGGGAGGGTTGATGTCCAGATTAGGGTTACGTAGGGTTAGGGTTAGGGTTAGGGTTAGGGCTAGGGTTAGGGTTAGGGGTTAGTCAAAAAAGTTACTAGTATTATTAAGTCCTACCAGCCGGTGGTTCTGTGTCCTCAGTCCCTGGTTCTTCCTGTGGCTGTTGAGGGAGGGAGAGAGTTGGTACCACCTCGCTGATGTCCAGGGTCTGCAGGTGACAGTTCATCGGGCAGAAGTCCATACTGAGGGGCGGGTTTTGTCTCATGCGAACCGCCTTGAAGGACGGCCAGATGTGGTTGGACAGCAGCCTCGAGAACTGTATGACAAATGCAAGTTACGTCGATGAGGGTTGGACATCCAAGTAATGAGATACTGACAGTGACATTTACTTAGCAAGCCTTGGACAGCAGCCTTGAGAACTGGAATGCCATCATCAGAATTCAAATTAAGTCTTAGATTGGAAGTTCATCTCACGAGAAGTCATGAAAGTTTATCTGTGTTTAAAGTCAAAACTTTTTTTCGAATGAATCAGGTTTGAACTGTAATTTCTGATACCAAAAGTTTGAATTTTTTGACTGAGTGTTCAACTCCAGTCTTTTTCAAGGAATGAGCAATCCACTGCTTTTTCGATGCCACTACTGATAACCAAGTCACATTTTCTAAACTTTAAGGTAGCTGCATAACAGACTTTCTGGAACCTATGATCCACTGAGTCACATGTTCTATCTAATAAGTAAGTTAAACATGAAGTCACAGAAATTTTGGATTGATCACTCCTTGACAGAGACAGGTTTAACTGTGTGGATAAAGAATTGAAGAATTCATCAAATTCACAAAATGAAAATGAAGAATATCAGACCTTCTGGTAAGCCTTGATTTGAATTTACAAATTAACCAACGTGTCGGTGACCATCTGTCACCTTCAACAGGACATTACTGACTGGTCCTACTTTATGTGAAATCAAAATAAAGAATGGAAGAAATCTAATAAAAATTGAAAGAAATTAAAAATGTAGGGTTACTAGAGGATTCTTTCAGCAGTGACAAGTTTTTGAAGGGTAAGGATACTAATCTCCAAATTTTCAATGACTATCAGTCCATTCTAGTTCACGGAGTTGCCTAGTCTCGCGAGAACAAGATGGACTGATAGTCATCGAAAATTGAGGATTAGGCAAATTGTACTTACCATGAAGGATAATCCCAATTATACCTCACACGAACTATTTGGGTATATCGTTTACCTTATGCAGTATTTCCTATGCTTATCGCTAGGTGGCGCACGTGTACAAAGCTTTAATCGCAAAGCATCACGGGATATCATGACGTAATGACTATGTTCGCCGCCATTTGACGACGTGCGAGAAAGAGTCTGTGCTGTTCACCATGGGTGGGCATTCTCAGCTACTTGGAAGCTGAAGAACAGCAAGGGTGGGAAGATATACCCAAATAGTTCGTGTGAGGTATAATTGGGATTATCCTTCATGGTAAGTACAATTTGCCTAATCCTCAATTATACCTGCACACTCCCTATTTGGGTATATCGTTTACCTTATGCAGTATTTCCTATGCTTATCGCTAGGTGGCGCACGTGTACAAAGCTTTAATCGCAAAGCATCACGGGATATCATGACGTAATGACTATGTTCGCCGCCATTTGACGACGTGCGAGAAAGAGTCTGTGCTGTTCACCATGGGTGGGCATTCTCAGCTACTTGGAAGCTGAAGAACAGCAAGGGTGGGAAGATATACCCAAATAGTTCGTGTGAGGTATAATTGGGATTATCCTTCATGGTAAGTACAATTTGCCTAATCCTCAATTATACCTGCACACTCCCTATTTGGGTATATCGTTTACCTTATGCAGACTTCAGAGCCGTGGACAGCACAGCCTGGCCAAACGTGTGTTGGTTGTTGTCCCTCCTGTAGTACTTCAGGAAGGTAGACTCTCGTGACCAGTCCGCTGCCTTCATGATGCTATGTAGAGACACCCCGGCAGCTGCAGCAGCTGAAGTGGACGCTCCTCGAGTGGAGTGAGCTGAGAAAGTTGCTGTGTCGACACCTGCCGTGCCTAACACTGACTTAACCCACCTGGCCAGGGTCGCAGAACCAACCGGCCTGTGTGGTCTCCTGTATGATATGAACAACTTCTGCTCCCCCCCCCTTTCTTTCCGAAGGGAAGAAGTCCGCCTTAGATATTCCTTCAGGTATGTGAAGGCACACAAGCGCCTGTCCTGCGGGAAGGCCGCCCAAAAACACTTTCTGGCAGGTTTTCCTGGTCTAGAAGTTTTTAGCAGGGTAGGAATTGTCCAAGAAACACCGTTTCTACATTTCTTCATGAATCTCAAGTCGAGAGCCGCTAAAGTTTGACCTCTGTCGGCTGATACCAATGCCGCTAGTGTTACCAACTTATGAGACAATTGTTTCAAACTAAGACTATTAGCTGGGCAACAATGCAGAAGGTACTCTAGGACCCGACTGACGTCCCATGTTGAAACATATCTTGGACAAGGAGGACGTTTGTGAAACACACCTCTCATCAGTTTGGACACTAGAGGGTGACTACCCACATTACAATGGTCTACTGGTAAGTGAACAGACGAGATCGCAGAACGAGCCACCCCAATTGACATATAGCTGTAGTTCTGTCGAAACATCCATTCCAGATATTCTACTACGCTCTCTATAGAGCCGCAAACTGGATCAATCTCCCTTCTATCACACCAGCTGGCCCACTGAGCCCATGCTGACTGATACTGTCTAGAAGTACTTTCTCTCCAAGCCGAGAGGATGAGGTCTGAAGCCCCTGCCGAAAGGCCCCGACCCTGCAACTGTCGCCTGATATTGGCCACGCGGCAAGCATCAGATCTGGCAACAGCGGATGGGGTCTCCTGTTGTGTGGCAGGAACAGCAGATCCCAGCTCTGTGGCAGGAGAACCGGACTCTCGAACAACATGTTCAACACCTTGGGGTACCAAGCCTGAGACTTCCAAACTGGAGCTATCAAAATCACTGTTGCTACGTCTGACTGGACTTTTCTCAGTACCTTGAACACTAGGCTGAAGGGGGGAAAGGCATACGCTAGCCCCAGGTTGCCCCAGTGAATGTTTAGAGCATCCACTGCCATGGCCTCTGGTTCTGGGTGCCAAGAGACATACTCCTTCAGCTGAGCATTCAGACGAGACGCAAACAGATCTACTGTCAATGCATTGCCTGTCCAATTGTTCAATGACAGGAAAACTGAGCGGTTCAGTTGCCCCTCGACCTTGTCCAGAAAAACCCGCGAACACCTGTCCGCTAGGGTGTTTGTCAATCCGGGAACGTGAGTTGCAGACAACATCAGGCCTCTTTCCAAGGCCCACGACCACATCTCCAGGGCCAAGGCTGCCAGATCTGGCGACCTTGTTCCCCCCATGTGATTCACATATGCAACGGCTGTTGTGTTGTCCAGCCTTAGCAGAACATGCTGAGTATCCGCGCTCACAAAGCTTCTTAGCGCCAGGAAGGCCGCTTTCAACTCTAGCCAATTGATGTGCATGCGCGCTTCTGTCTGTGACCAGCGCCCGCCTGTCTCCTGACCATTGCAATGCGCGCCCCATCCCTCCAGTGAGGCATCTGTGCAAATTGTCAGGTCTGACGGAACAAAGACTCGGCGACCGTTTACTTCGCGCACATGACTGATCCACCACTGTAGATCTTTTACTGCATCTGGGGTTAGACTGACTGAAGAGTCGAATTTTCCCGGCTTCTTTATGCCGAAATTGAGAAGCTGTTGCAAAGCCCGGAAATGTAAGGGCCCGGGAAGAATGGCTTGCTTGGTGGACTCTAACAGCCCCACCACGCTGGCTAGCTGCCTGGTTCCTATCACCTCCTGTTCTAGAAGTGATTGGCAAGAACTCACTACCTTGTCTAACTTGTCTTCTGGTAGGTAAATTGTCAAAGTACGAGAATCGAGAACAAGGCCTAGGAAGGTCGCTACCTGAGACGGTATCAACTGCGACTTTTCCAGGTTGAGAACAAAACCGAGTTGCTCTAGAAGCTCTCTGGCTATAGCAATGTGCTCTAAGCACTGTTCCCTCGACCTTGCAATGATCAGTAAGTCGTCTAGGAAAATTACTATTAACAATCCTTGTCTCCTTAGAATGGCCACAATCGGCCGCAAAACCTTGGTAAATACCCTCGGCGCCGACGTCAGACCGAAGGGAAGACACTGAAATCCCCAAAGAACTCCTCTCCACGAAAAACGAAGGAATTTTCGATCGCTCTGAGCTATTGGGATGGTAAAGTACGCATCCTTTAGATCTATAGTTGCTAGAAAATCTCCTTTTTTCCACAACTCTTTGACTAGGTTTATCCCTTCGAACTTGCAAGTACGTTTCAGAACAAACTTGTTTAAAGACTTTAGGTTTATAACCGGTCTCCAGCCTCCCCGAGCTTTCGGGACTAGGAAAATCGTAGAAACATATTGGCCCTCGCAGGGCTCCACCTGGACCACTGCACCTTTCTCCAACATACTGTGCACTTCCTCGTCTACAACCTTTGCTCTGTCCTCCCCAGATATATTTGTGACCGGCTGAACGAACTGAACTGGAGTGGACTCCCATTCTATACGGTAACCCCGAACTGTTTGCAAAAGCCATCTGTCTGTTGAAATCCTTTCCCAGTTTTTCATGAAAAAAGCTGTTCGCCCTGCGTGCTGAACCGGAGAACAGAGCAGAGTCTGATGACGAGGAAGAGCTACTGTTTGTTTGGGCCTTTTGTGCCCTGCGCTGAACGAAACCCCGAGGTTTTCTTACCCCCGGCATTTGACCATGGTCTAGCATTGTTGTAGTTGTTGTTGTTGTTATAGTAGGGACGAAAATTGTAACCCTTTGAGTTTGAGGAGTACTTGTTGTAGTTATAGTTAAACTTCGAGCGGTTGGACTGAAACCTGTCCCTAGCCCTAGAAGTACTCGAAGGGGCTGGCTTATAAGCCTTACTCAAGGTGCGTCTAGCCTGATCGGCTGTATTAACCTTCTCCAAAAAGGTGTCTCCAAACAAGTATTTGGAAGAACCAGTGGGCAAGTCGGTCTTGAAAACATGCTTCATATCCTGTTTCATGTCCCTGCCGCACAATTCCCTTCTGTACTGAGTCATAGTAGAGGAAGCTGAACCCAAAAAGACCAAGGACGATTCTATCGCTTTACACACAGCATTTGGGTTCAGGGGATGGTCCGAACCCTTAACTGCCGCTAAAAGCTCCACCAGAGGGTTAGCAGCCATGAGCATCTTATCCTGACAATCACTAAAATTCTTATCCGTGTTGACGGTGTCGTTCTTAATCATATTCGCCACTACTGGGTCTAGAATGGGTGCCCGAAGCGCTAACTCCACGCTAGGTGGAGTTGGAAAAGCTTCCTTCCTCTCCTTGAACTCCGCATACGTTAATTTATGAGTAAAGACCTCGGTCAAAAATGTAGCGACTTGCTCGGGAAGTTCAGATTCTTTCCCTTTCTTATCGTAAGGATTATCGAATGACAAGGAGTTACTAGTACCTTCATCAGACTCTTCAGAGTCCGAAATGGTGATTTCCCCCTCCTCCGAACACTCTTCCACTTCCGAACCTGGATGCTTGCGCCCGGAACCGACTACGCCGGCTCGGCTGGTCGACGCTACCGCCCCGTCAACGTCCCGAGGTTGGCGGGATGAACTGGACGCCTGAGGAAGTCCCAGGCTGGAACTGACCCACTGAAGAAAAGAGGCAGCGTCGAATCCAGGCGGGAAGGGTGTTCCTGGTGGAGGTGGGGGTGGAGGAGACTTTTCCCGACCAAGCTTCGGCATGGTCGGGGAGCCCAACTCCTCCGAGCCCGGAGGAATTTTGGGCCGGGGCAGCTCCGCGCCGTCTCCTTCCTTGGCCGATTTTCCCAGTGCCAACGCCGAAGGGGCATTTCGCTCCACTAGCGGCGGAATGAGGTTGGGGTTCTTCTCTTTTCCCTCCGAACCTCCAGCTGTAGGAGCGGGGACTTTTCGTTCACCCGACTCCTCTTCCTCCTGTCCGGAGGCAAGTACAGGCACGCCTGTCTTTTCCACGGCAAGGAATTTTGCCTGCCTAGCGTTGGGAAACTGACCACTTCTCTTGCCATTCCGACCTGTCTGGTCCTCCGAAAGGCTACCTGAATCGCCCCCGTGGGCAGAAGACTTCGTTTTATCCTTCTTTTTGGGCATAACGCCGAAAGAAAATCCGAAAAAATAAGGAGTAGGGAAACAACGTGCACCCCTTGGCGTTCGCACAAGGAAAATGGCGGCGAACATAGTCATTACGTCATGATATCCCGTGATGCTTTGCGATTAAAGCTTTGTACACGTGCGCCACCTAGCGATAAGCATAGGAAATACTGCATAAGGTAAACGATATACCCAAATAGGGAGTGTGCAGGTATAATTTGGAGATACCCTTCAAAAACTTGTCACTGCTGAAAGAATCCTTTAGTAACTGTATCTATACGTGATGAAATGAATCTCTTCAACGATAAAAATGAAGAATGTCGGACCTTCTGGTAAGCCTTGATCTTCCTCTGAAGAATCTCCTTCCACTTGTCTTTAGCCATGACGAGCCACGCTTTCTGTCCCTCGTCCATCCTGGGGGGGATCGGGAGGGCCTCGAGTTCAGCCAGGAACTTCTGGTCTTCCTCTAAGTACAGGTTCACTAACTGGGACAAGATTATTAGTTAGTAAAAGTCTTCCATTTTTGTACATTATACCTGCACCAGAATTCCATTTCAATAGTCCTTGGGTCACACAGTTGTGCAATCACTACAGCAGGGGGGTAGTCCATAAAAATTGCATTTGCTTATATCGCTAAGGGCCAGGGACCAATAAGCCTGGAGATAACTCACAGAGTGAGCAAGGGGCCAGTTACTGGCCTAAGGACTTAGGCAGGCAGGCAGGCAATATTGCTAAGTATCATCGAGTAAGCCCTGCTTAGAGAAAGAAAGTTAAAATGGTACGGCCATGTGACTAGAAGTAAAGGCCTCTCCAAAGTTATACTACAAGGAACAGTACCAGGGAAAAGAAAGAGATAGAGACAAGGAAGAAATGGGGCAACAACGTCAAGGAGTGGACCGGCTTGCCCCTTGCCAGTGCCCAGGCGCTGGCTCATGACAGGGAGGGATGGAGGAAGGCAGTGTGCTCAGCCACTAGGTGCCCCCACGACCACCCCCGGTCAAGGGACCGGTAAGACGGTAAGTAAGTACCTTAGCAGGAATAGTGAAGGTGGTGTCTGACTCCTTCATACTCTCCAACACCTGGTACCTGACCCCACCACTGGCTTCGTACTCGTACACAGCATAGTGCTCCAGTCCACTGTTCTGTACTGTAGGGAAGATACAATAACAATCAATCTATTAATCAATCAATCAATCAATCGAGCAATCAATCAATCATGGTGGCCGTATGGGAATGTAGGGAAGATATGATATCCTTAATCATAAATATGTAAGGTTGTCATTTATACATGGAGAAGAAGGTCTCCCGTGCTCTATGCAGAGCGTAGGGTAGTGCCCATCTCCATTTCTGTAGCACCCTTGGACACACAGTTGTGCAGGGCATTACAGCAGGGGGCTAGTCTGCTGGTAGTGCTGTGTGTTTGACCTTCCCACACTCTTTCTCATATGTGCTGAGTGCTAAGCAGAGAAAGAAGTGTGTACCATTTTTAAAGTCTTTGGTATGACCCAGCCGGGTTTGAACTCACGACCTCCCGGTTACAAAGCGAGCACTCTACCAATTAAGCTATTTCACCAGTTGTTGCATGCAGACCTACAGGCACTTTTTACATGTGTCCATAAAAAATACACTGTACGTACATGTATGAGACCATTGTTGCATACTCCCCCCTTCCACTAGAGACATGTCGCTGATCAACAGACTGCTCAATGATTTTCATACATAAAGAAAATCTGTGTCTTGACCTGTTGTCATTGTCAATAAAGAAAGAAAGAACAAATTTTGCATGCTTTGTTTGCCTTGTAGTCTTTCAAATCATACCTTTACCTCATGCCTCATATTCCAGTATGAAATCAAGTGTCATGAAAATAAAATTTTGCTCGCTCAATCAATCAATCAATCAATGGTCGCACAGCAATCACTGTCCGGTGGAAAGCAGGCCTTACCATGCAGGGTGACTTTGTTGGTCGGCGTGGTGACAGTTTGAGACAGCAAGAACTACAAGAAATTCGTCTGGGACTATGTCATTCTGGACGAAGGGCACAAGAAAAACCTATGGAATATACTTTGTACACCACCACTGTTTCCTACCCTGCAGGGTGACTTTGTTGGTGGGAGTTGTGACAGTCTGGGACAGCGGGCGCGGGGAGGAGGGAGACTTGTCGGCTGGTGAGGCACCGTTAGAGTCAGACTTCTCACCTCCTGGCTCTGGAGGATAGAAAAGGGTGGAATCATTTGCATTGAACAACAGCAATACACTTCTATAATTATATAATATGCCTATAAAATTGCAAACCCATGCATGCCTACTAAATGCAAGACTTAGTGTATATCAGAAATAATAAAGCTATAAGAAACAATAATTCTGCGGACTGTCAGACTGCCCATATGGCAGAGGAGCTATAGGACTGAGTAAAGTTGAGTGTGAAACAATAAAATGAACATATTAAAGTGAATTGAAACATAGCTGTATTGCTAAGCAACTAAAAAACTAAATTTTATACATTTCATCTTAACTCAATTTTACATCAGTTCTGTAACATTTTCAATTGTTTCATTGTCTTGTAACTTTTTTCTCTTGTACAGTTAATAAGTGGTAGTGTGCATTATACTAAGTAAGTTGTATACAACATGAATCCGCCATCCCTTTGTCTTATTCTCTTGTTCATCTACAGACTGTTTTTGCTATGTGCAAAATGCCTTTTTGCTTCTAAACCAGGGGCTACGAATGGTAATCAGGCGAGACAGGCCACCCTGGTACATTGGCTTCCTGCTTTCCCAGCAAAAAGCTCATTTTATGTATCATGACTATCTTAAAAAAGCAGCTGTCTTATATGTCATGTACCTTGAGAGGTTGATGGTTCGACATGATCAGTGCTGGAGTCCTTCCTGATACTTTCCTGCACACTGTTCACAGGAGAGAGACGTTTGCGGTGGATGGACTTTCCCATCCGATGCATGTGAGTCTGGAACACAAATTACAGTGTCCAAATCACAGAAACAAAATTCATTACATGAAATTCTATTAAGGTGTACCAAAAACATCTCTCTCTTTTTTTTAACCGTTTTAATGTCATTTTTCCTCAAACTGGGGGTTAGACGTGCTTGCACTAAGTACAAGTCTTTTTGTTGAAGCAAGATTTTTACGGCTGGATGCTCTTCCTAACGCCAACCCAAACCCTAGTAGGGCCCAGGAACCCTCGAACTGAGGGGGGAAATTCGTGTTAAAATCGCAAATCCCTTTGCAATTCAAGTTGGGCTATTGAAGAAGTAGCTGCAGTAGTAGTAGAATGGTCTACTGAGAAGACATACTTCCAAAATCCAACAAAGGCAGCCATCAGGCTGAATTAATTTACAACATTTACAATCAGTACCAGTATATAAAATGTAGCAGCTATGAATATCAAACAATCAAATATTCAAAGGATGGCATTGGATTAAAATTGAAATACTTGGCGTTGGGTGGCATAGTGGCAGATCATTTGACTGTGAACCGGGAGATCCGGGTTCGATCCTGAATCACACAGACCCTTGCAGCAGTTCCACAAAAATGTGGAGCAAATATGTATCATGACAATTGTGTATTATGTGTATTGTTATGTGTATTATTACCATTTGTATCATCTGATTGTAAACCCTGCATCAATTCAGCACTATAAGGCTGCGATTGCACGGGTAATGTTTGGCCAATAAACCATTTATACTTGACAAAGGCAAAGTTTCAAAAGTTTTGACATTACCTCTGACTTTGCCCTCATGAGCCCGTGGGAGATGCGTTTGATAGCACAGACGACCGTGTCATGAGAGGCACAGGACACGTCTTTCCCATTCACCTGTAAAATGCTCTGTCCTGGGAACAGGCCTGCTTTTCCTGCTGGACTGTCTGTGGGAAGGGAGCGACATACAGATTGTAATTGTGGCACATCTGTCCCTTGGACAGGACGTTAAATGGAGGTCCAATGTTTGGGGAGAGCTATACCATGTTAAAGAACCCACACCACCTCTTGAAAAAGAGTAGGGGCATGCCACAGTGTGAGATGTTCCAACTAATACTTGGAACAACTAGAAGTTGGTGATTTAGTGCAAATCACCCGGATGGAGGCCTGGCAAACCTGCATCTTGTATTAGCCACTGTGATTTTTTATGTTTGCTTTCAACCATCACCCTCGCAGACTCCAGGAAGAATAGTGTACAATATATGGAGATCTAATAATTCTGTACACTAATGGAGATCAAATGAATCTTAATAATACAAACAAAATTGAAGGTGAAATCAGACGTACCTGGTTTGACCAGGTGAACCACACATGGGTTACTGCCACGGACCTGGAAACCTAAGTCTTGTCTGGCCTGGACAATGGATGTAGTGCTGCAATGTGAAATACACCAAGGAAACCAAGATATTAGACAAATAGATACTATTTCCTTTAATCAACAACAACAGAATCTTATTTCCATGACAAGTAACTAATTCAGCACCAAGGACAGGCACAGCTATATTTAAACTTGTATTGACTACTGTTTGGTTGTTTTTATCAAGGTGAGGTTCACAATACAGAGAAAGGGATTTGCATATTGCAATATTTCAGCACCAGGGACAGACACAACGCTACATCATACATGAGTGTATTGTTGTTTTAAATCTTGTATCTCTTTCAAGTAGCGTACATGTCAGGTGAGCGACAACGGCCGGGATTCAAACTCTCAACCTCTTGGTCTAGAGGCAGGGTTGCTAACCACAGGACTACACACACTTCTGGGAGAATGCCTGAAAAGAAGCAGCAGAGGAAAAGAGGAGGCGAAGAAAGGCTGCAGTAACTCAGCCTACAGCAGCAGTGAACTACACTGACCCGTCCTGCCGCAGGACCTGCAGGTCAAGAATTGGACTGCACAGCCACATGAAGGCCTGCAGGGGACTGACTTCCTAAACATCTTCAGACTCAAAGAAGAAGCTAACACACATACTTCTACATATTTGTCCCACTCACTCTTGCTGCTGAGCTGCGACTGTGACATTGAGGATGCCACTCTGTGCGCAGGCAGCCTTGATGAGGGCCTTGATGTTGGAGGAAGTCAGGCTTAAGGAGTAATGACCATCGAAAAAGTGGTTTGGGTAAAGCACTCTTGTGTATAACGCCTGAAG